GGGCCCAGTTGGGGTGTCCCGTCTCCTGGGTTTCGGCACCAATGAAAGGAAGGGAGCGACACACAGCAGCAATTCACTGGAGAGTTCCTCTTTATTAGGGAAAGGTGCTGGGTTATATAGGAAGGGGCATAGGGTGATTGTGGTGTTACTTCTACGGGGCTGGTGGCTGTTGGCTAGGTGCTGGGATTGGGAGGGGGGCGAGAGGTGATTGGGCTTCAGGTGGCGCCGGCAGGAACCGAGGACCCCTGAAGAGAAGCCGGAAGTTCACCATCTTACTGGTGGGGGCTCTTCAGGGGACAGAAGGGAAATTTTTTTTGTTTATTAAGGTATCATTGATATACACTCTTATGAAGGTTTCACACAAAAAACAATGTGGTTATTACCTTTGTCCTTATTATCGAGTCCCCGCCATACCCCATTGCAGTCACTGACCATGACAACTTTGTAAGTGTTTGATTACAAACAGCTGAGAAGTAGTCAGTTTATGAATCAGTGATTCATTATATCATCACCTGCTTGGTCTGCCAGAGAAAGAAATTTGAGTACAGAATTTACTTACAAGTCACACACCTCACAAGCCCTATAAAAATATTCCTAACTGTTGTCTGAAAAATGCATTCAGTTTCCAGTACTTTGTAAGTTTATTCTTCTATTTTCAAAAATCCTGAAGCTAATTAAAACACTTAATCTAGAGAGCTGTCTCTAGAACCTTCAACAATCAATAGAAAAGTTTGGAAATTAAAAATTCAAACTGCTTGACATGTATTCTTAGATTCACCTTTTTTTTTAATTCAGTAGTTTATATAGTTGGGCTGCTTAAAATATTTCTTGATCTTGTAAGAAGATAATATGTTTACTCTGAATATAAATATGTGTCATTTAGGGATCTTTTCAAAAAACATCTTTCAAAGCCCACTATTTCCTCTAAAGTAAATACCTGTAATAGAAGAAGGCTTTTATGTTACCTATCAAGACTGCCAGAGGACATGGAGAATTACTGACACTAATCTTAAGACCCATGAGCCTTTAACCTGTCAGAGAATGCCCACAGGAAAAGGTGGCTAGTAATTACTGCTTCACCTCTGAGCCACTGTCCAGTGGTTAGGAATTGCTTTGACCCAAGTCATAAAATTGTTATTTCAAAAGTTGGGAGATAGGGATAGCTGTCTTTTTGAAGAAAACTTGCACAGAAAAGAAAAAAATTGTGTTTTGTCATTAGTACTATTTGTAGCATCAATAGCTATAAACAAGTAAGTGAATTCTATTTTCCAGATTAGTGATTCTCAGAATTTTTTTGGATTCCAAGTTTGCTTTACATTCATAAAATTTATTGAGAATCTTGAAGTGTGTTTCTTTATGTGGCTAAATATTAAAACTAATAATTAAATATTTATTGATTCATTTTAAATCACAGTAATAAATCCATGACATGACATAAAATATGTGAGTTATTTTAGGAAAAATAAATTTACAAAATAACATCAGTGAGAATGACATGGTTTTATATGTTTTCAAATCTCTTTAATGTCTTGTTTAATAGAACACAGCTGGATTCTCTCATCTGTTTCTGCATTCAGTTTGCAGTATGTTGTTTTTGTGGAAACATATGGAGAGAGTCTGACTTTACACAGATACGTAGTTGGAAAAGAGAGAAGTACTTTAATAGCCTTTTCAGATACTTGTAGATATTCTTTGGTACCACACCAGAATTTACAAAGTGGTAGTTTTCTTGACGGTTGCTTGTGGTGTGGAATCTGAAGCCGATTCAATGAAGTGTTTGTACTCTGTTACATTAAAATCTACTGGTCTATGTTGCACCTTTAATGAACCTTCTATCCATGTGGGATATTATAATATAATGCATTGGTTATTTGAAAAATGTTGCTATTCAGAGATTTCCAAATGTTTCCAAATGTTGAAACATTTCATTATACAATACTGTATTCACATTTGTTAATGTCACCATTAATGTCACTGAAAAGTCTTTATTGGGAAGCTCTTAAGCTCATGGTAGTGGGTACAGGTTTTCTTAAATCCTAAGTTTTACTTGTAAGTTTGAGTTTTATTATTGGCTACAATACTGCTGCTTATTTTCTTTGAAGTGATAAAGGTCACTTTATTCATTGTCAAGGAAATGTCTGCCAAAGAGCCAAGTCTGACTAACCATAGATTGTCTGGCAGTTCTTTCAAGTTAAAATGAAGTTTCAGTGAACCAGATGGCTAATTCAGCTTTCAGCACAACAGTGGCCCAGATGCTTTTCCTCAAGACATCCGTTGTGCAGGGTGCTTTATGGGAATTTCCCATTTTATCATTTCTTTACACAGACAATTACAGTGATTTGTCCTCAAGGTTGAGACTTAATAGACTTAATAATTTTTACTGCTTTATCAAGGACGTTCTTAAGTGAAACTAGCTTTTTTTTCTTTCTTTTCTTTCCTGCTAATGCATGAGGGTGCATACAGTGATTACCGCACAGTTTGGAGTTACTGCCTTGATTGCTGTTAAGGTGCCTGCAGTGTTCCTCACCAGTTACTTTTGTTAACGGAGCAGATGTTAACACAGTTGTTGCAGGATGACCTTGAAATTAAAAAAAAAGTTATTCAGTATTTTGAATATTTCAGCATTTCTTGTATTTTGTTGCCAAGGGTTCACATATAAAACATCTTCTTTGCTGATTCATTGTGCCAATGAACAGGCAAAAGGAAAACAGCAAACCCATTATTCTGGAGATTCCCCCACGTGTAAGGCCAAAGGATGATGCTGCAGATGAGACACCAACTCGGCTTCATGGTGCAGCCTTGCTACCTGGATGAGTCCCTGTGGCATCGCCAAGTGACAGTGCTGGGATTTCTTTTTCTGACTTTCACCCAGTAGGCACACAGCCATGTCACCTACAAAGTCATGCTTCTCCAGGCAGTGCAGCACGATAACCAACTCTGTAAGCTCTTCCAGTGGCTTTTTCATTTCTAGACTGAAAAACATTAGAATGCAGTGTGAAGCAATATATTACAGCATGATAAACAGTGTTTGCCTGTTAAAGAGCTTTTCATGTCTAAGTTTAAAACAGCTCCTTTTTCTTTATATTTTGAATGATTTGTCTCGAAATGACACTACAACTTAACTGGTACCATAAATATTATTTTAAAAATGCTTCATTGCATTAGATACAAGAAGATAAGTTATTAACATTTATAAATTCGAGGGAAATACAGCTTTCATCATAATTTCATTTCTTATTTGTTTTCTTTTTTGGAGCACTTTCTTCCCTTCCGTAAGTCAGAAGACTCTCTTGATGTATTATCAGTTTCTTTTTTTTTTTCAGCATGTTTAGTTGTAGATAGTGTGGTGGTAGGTTGAGAATGTTGGTTGGTCTTCTAATCTCATTTCAGGACAATTCATCTTAAATTAGGAAAAAGCATATTATAAAGTTTCTTTTAGAATGAGATAAAATAAACTCTAGCATGAGTTTCAATTAAAGTTAACACTTGTTTTTATTTGATAACTTAAGTTATTACTGTGAAGCTGTAGGTTGTAAGCAACACTTTGGGATTCAAAATAAGAATTTTTTGAACAACAATGAATCCACAGAGATTGTTGCTGGAATAACCAGATAGCTAGTAAAAGCACAATGAAAGTACTGAGAACAAACTGAGTTATCTGGAAACACACCTCCTCATACCCTGAACCTGTATGTTAGAACTGGAACACACTAGAACGTTCAAGTGCTTGTTCCATTAGCTGACAGTGTTGCTGCCATCACAGGTCATGCAGCGTGGGAGTGAAAAAGGCTCAAGTTCTAGCTTTACTATGAGAACAGTTTTGAACTTAAAGACCCTCTGAAAGGTTCCCAGGATCCCCTGTGGTCCCCTGGCCACACTTAGAGATCCATTGTTCTAGATGTTTGAATCCACCATCACTGTTTTAAAAGTCACCTCTGAAATCTGTGGTACATTTTTTCCATTTTGCAACCCTAACGCAGGTGTGGTAATTTCATGTCACGGTCCTTATTCTTCAAGATCCAGGCCTTACTCTGTGTCTTTCATAAAACGAACTCTCTTTCTTGTCATGTCATATGAATAAGGCCAAAGGTAAGGAAGTGGAGTAATGGTGGGCACTTTTATTACATGAAATAAGTTGATATATTTTTTTATTTTTAATTAGAGTAGAAATGCATAATCTTAGTTCAATGGTAGTCTTTATAGGTGTAGAACCATGTCCCTCATTCTTTGATCCAGCTTATGACTAGAAAGAATAAAGATTTGGATGAGAATGTCAGCCTTCTCTGTTTAGGGTCTTGCTGCTTGCGCTTAACTGTGGACTAGACTATCACAGGGACAGTGAAACCTGGCTGGACTGTTAGCTTCCTCTCCTGTAGCAATGATAGCATTGGAGTGTGTGTGTACTCTAAACTCTCTTCCAAGTGGACCACTATGTACATCTACACTCACACTGCCTGAACTCGCTCATTGAGTTTAATATGATAATTAGAATTAAATTACCCATTAAACTGATATTACAGTAATGTGCTGTTAAAATTGGGAAGTTGTTAAATTATAAAATAACTTGTGCTTTGTTTCTTTGATTCTAGGATGCACATTTTAACAACACTAAAGTAAGAATGTGTTTTTTAATCAAAGATGGATCAGTTTAACTGGTGGCATTTCTCCCCCCTATTTTTATAGAATAGTGTTTGTTTTAATTTTGAAATATTATCTTCAAATATATTTCTTTTGATGTACTTACAAATGTCTATTTCATGAGGAGGACTACAGTATTTTTCATTCTTAAATGTTTTCTGTATTTTCCTTTTAAAAGAATCTGGCAACAATTTATGTTTTTTTCTGAAATGTGTATTTCCACATTGAGTGTTTCATAGCAAATAGGAAATTAACATTAAATCATGCTTATTGTTCAAAAGTTTGCTTTCCTTTTTAAGAAAGACTTCTTTTGCTTATGTTTTAAAAATGATATTCAGTAAATTTAATTCTGTTCAAAACAGGTGTATTTTAGGACAGTGGAACTTATAGAAGAACCCATAGAAGGATCTCCTGGTCTGAGTTTCTACTTCAAAATTAATGGATTCCCCATATTTCTGAAAGGCTCTAATTGGATCCCAGCAGATTCCTTCCAGGATCGAGTGACCTCTGATTTGTAAGTTACCATCTTTCTTGTTCCTCTTTTTATTAAATGTCTCACAAAGCTTAAAGTTACTCATTTTACTTTCTTTAGTTTCAGTGGAAAGGACTAAGATGTAGTATAGAATTCTAGGATGATGGAAACTTTAGAATGGAAAGGATTTTCATATCATGTTCCATTTCATGAGCTGTAGGTAGACTTACAGCAAACCTATTTGAGACTGCTAAAACCATACTGTTTTTAGAAAACTACTATATATTTTCTCTTTAGGAATGAGAAAATAGCTGATGCACAATTTGGATAGTTAATCCCTGAGAAATAAAGATGATTAAGGTTGGTTTCAATTTTTTGAAGAATACTTTCAATGTTTTTGAACATGCTTTAAAAAATATGGGAACTTATATTTATGTCTTCATGCTGAAGATACTTGCATATTCCTTTACTTTTACCTTAATAAAAAGAACTAAAAAATATCTTTAAAATTCTGGAACTAGAAAAATATTTAAAGTGTGTTTCTGAAGCTTTGAGAATAGAGCTGTACAAGAAAATAATATTTCCTGAATGATGTGTAAACTCTCTTTGTGATAGTGAAAGTAAACTTTGTGAAGTGAAAATAAGCAGATTTAACTTATTTATAAATGTGTAAGTATGCATTGCAGTATTTTACTTGAAGTTTAGAATGTAAGTGCGGTTCGTAATTAAACTATAATTTTGCCAGAGTTGTAGTTATTCCCTTTTACCTTTAAAATGTGTACATTGTTTTGAATTTCACGTGAAAATGAAATTATTCTCCAGACATAGACACAAATCACTTGTTGTCTCTTGCCTTTTTCAAATGCTCCTCTCTTTTCCTGGCTGGTTTTGGCCTTGGCTGTAAAGCACAGCAAGGCCAGTTAGTAAACCTGCCTGTAGGTGGCTTTGCTGAGAGCACAGTGCTCTGGGGTCCTGCCCAGCCAGTTATTGGGCTTTTCATCCTTTGTGCTGTTCTGGAAATGGAGGGTATGTGCTCTCAAAGTGGCTGTCAACTCCTAAATTTTCCTGAGGGTAACGAGAATGGAAATTGGAAAAAGCAGAGAAATTTACTATAGAAAAAAGTACAGATGGTCCTTGACTTACGATGGCTACACTTGCAATTTTTCGGCTTTATGATGGTAAGAAAACACTGTGCACTCAGTGTAAATTGTACTTTGAATTTTGAAATAGTATCTTTCCCGGGGCTCGCGGTGTGCAGTGTGAGGTGCTCTCATGATGCTGAGCAGCATAGGTCGGGTGATCGAGAGGGTAGACACCCGACACTTCGGCCATTCTGTGCCTGTGAAGCCATTCGGTTTTTCACTATCAGTACAGTGTTCAGTACCTTACATGAGATATTCAACATGTTGGTTTAAAATAGGCTCTATGTTAGATGATTTTGCCCAACTGTGGGCAAATGAAAGTGTTCTAAGCAGGTTTGAGGCAGGCTAGACTATGTTGGTCAGGAGATGAGGTGAACTGAATGCATTTGCAGTTACTATTATCTTCAAACTAACAATAGGTTTATTGGGACGTATGGCCATCATAAGTTGAAGAAGATCGGTACTGTGCTGCAGGAATTGTAAAAAAGGAGCTAAGAGTGAGTTAGGTACTATTATTCAAACTTTGATTTCCGTCTTACAATTTGAAATGGTTATATAAAATTAGTGTGTATTTTCCAAAGTTTACAGCAAATAGCTTTAAGATAAAAATTTATTATTAAAAATGGTACAGTAACGTTACTGAGAATTGAGAAAGCAAAGATATCACCCATAATTTTTCTAGGTTTGTTTATTTTATGTGGTTACAGTTAATGTGTGTGTAATTTTGTCCCACTTTCTTAACTTAGCATTATATCCAAATCATCATAATTTTAAAATGTGTTTTTCTAACAGATTTCAAATGTGTTTATAAACCACAATGTGCTGAAATTAACATTTGTTATTAAAATTTCTTTTCTTAGGTTACGGCTCCTTTTGCAGTCTGCTGTGGATGCTAATATGAATACTCTCCGTGTTTGGGGAGGAGGAATTTATGAACGGGATGAATTCTATGAAATCTGTGATGAACTGGGAATAATGGTGAGTAGGTGACAGCATTTTGTTGACTGATATGTCACTGTATCCTCAGTTTGACCCCCAATGTTCTGAATGGGTAATAGTGCTCATACCTTCTTTTCTCAGATCCAGGAATGTTGTTCCATTTTTTGCAAAAGAATGAATGGCATCTTATAATCCCAGAGCCGGAGTTGCTAGTGAATATTATAATTATTTAATTATTCAAAAATGATATACATTCTCTGTATTAGTTATAATCTAAGTATATTTGTCTATATTTTCTTTGTGATCTGAGGGCATGCATAAAAAAAAGAAAATATTAAGAAGTTTTAACTTTAAGGAGATCTAATGGGACCTGGAGAGGAGAAAAATAATAAAATTAAAGTAAGAGAAGAGGTGTTTAGCATTCTCATTAAGGACTCTGAACATGTTTTGTATTGGTGAGTGTTAAGCAAAGGAAATATATTCTTTTAATTCTTATATTAGAGTTCTAAAATATAAAGTACTCCATAGAAGAATTACAATATTACTGATAAAATATGATGGTAGTGATCAGGTGACAATATTCTATAATGCTCATCGAGTGCCAGGCATGGTTGTGCTTCGCATCTATTTTATTTCTCTTCATGTCCATCCTGTGCGGTTGTTTCTGTTGTTCTCTATCCCCATTTCACATGCAAGGAAGCAGACGTGTGGAGAGGTTAAATAACTCGCTCAAACTCCCACAGTGGGTATAAGGTGGAATCAAGGTTCCTTCCACTCAGGCTGACTGAGTCGGGGGCCTGTCCTCTTAGCTGCTGCATATTGGCCTCCTTGGGAATGAACTTGTGTGGTTCATTACTGCCATGTCCATGTAGTAATCCTTTTTGGCCAGAGAAAGTTAATCCCTTTATAAATGGAGTATGTTTCTTCACAGCCCAGTCTATCCCTGAATACCACATTCCCAATTAAAATTAGTCAGTGAGGCAGTGAGGAAGCTTTTTTGAATTTCATATTCCCTTCAACACATCACTGGTGTCTTAACTTGAATTCTTTTTCCTTCTGTTTGTTCTCTGCCTGTGTACACTTCTCAGGCTTCCCTGGAGTTTTGTGCAGTTCTGGGAAGTCCTGAGGTCTTGGGCATCTTCCCCAGGGCCTCATGCGTGACTGGTGTCCCAGTGATCACACTCACCCCCTAATGTTTTTCATAAAGATAATCCCCAAGGTTCTGAATGAAGAATTTCTGTCTGTGTAATAAAAATTGATGGAAGTACTTTATTGCGTTTTATTTGATGATAGGTATGGCAGGATTTTATGTTTGCCTGTGCGCTATATCCGACTGAAGACAACTTCATGGATTCAGTGAGAGAAGAAGTAGCTTACCAGGTACATTTCCACCATTCCAAGAATAAGATAAACACTGAAGTGTCAGTTTTGCCTTTGTTATCCCTCTTCTTGTTTCTTTTTGTTCTTTCACTAAACTCCATGAAAAATCACAGTCAGGGAATTGACTCCCTAGTTGGTTCCACCCAGTGTCATGGCTTTAATGCCGCCTGTATGCTGATGACTTTTATATTTTATTCCTGGCCCTGATGTCGCTGCTGCGTTTCTGGTCCTTACCTCCAGTTGCCGACTCAGTGGTTTGACTGGCATCTCAAGTGAACATGTCTGAGCCAAACTTACATTACCTTCACCAAACTTGCTGTTCCTGCAGGTTTCCCCACCTCAATATAACAGCAATACCGGTCTTTGTATTTTTCAGGTCAAAAATATAAAGTGGTTCTTGATTCCTTAATTTCTTCTGCATTCCATATATACACACTTATATTTACAGATCTGTAAATTGCAGAGAAATAATTATATCCTAGCTCTCTCCACTGAAAAGGTCTAGAAACAATAAACAACCTAGTAACCTAGTATTGCTGAGCATCCTTATATTGAAATAATCTTTCCCATTTAAGAAAAGGGCTCCTTAGAGAAGTGGCTGGTTCCAGGCCTGGGACAGGAAATATATTAGATGATCATGGAATACGTTGATGTACAGATAGTGAGGAAGCTACCAAAGATATGTCAAAAGAACTTTGATGAGACTCTGACCCACCATAAGTGGGACAATTTGAGATTCAATCAGGATAAGAATGTCAGTGGACTAAAACCCATCAAGTTTATTAAAATCCATGAGTTAATAATTAGAGTGTCTGTGGATGTATAGTTATAGTTGCGTGAGAAACCAAAAAATGCAAGGAAGTGTTGATACAGTGCTCAAGAGAGTGCTTACTGTTGGGAGGAGAAAGGGACTGTGATTGGGAGGAGGTGCACGAGGGCCTCTGGGGTAGTTGGCAAAGTTCTCTTTCTGGGTCTGGGTAGTGATTACAAGGTGATTGCCTTACAATAATTCACTACAAGTTGTTTTCTGTATTTTTGTTTTACTTTTAAAAAGAAAGTTTAAGAAGTGCAAATCGAATTGTGCCTTGCTCAGGGCCCTCTAGATAAAGGGAAAGCTCCTCGCCGAGCACTAGGCTGCCGGCCCGCCGCTGCAGCTTCTCCAGCACTGTCTTCCTGTGCCCCGAAATGCCTCCCCATCACCCTCCCTGAGGACCTCTCGCTCATTCTCTTCTGGCACCTTTTACCCTGAGCATGACTTTTTCTGCGAAAAACCTTACTATATCTGCACATCCAGATTAGGTCACTTGCTCTTCATGAAACACATCACACTTTGAATTAGATATTTGGAGTTTCATTACCCCTGCAAGATGGGAATCCCCCCGAGGCCTTGGGCCCATTCCCTCCAGTGCCCCTCACCTGGTTGGATCATTCATCCAGTGGATTAGATGGATGGATGGATGAGATACTTTTAAAATATTGCTTATAGTTATGTAGGTTACAAACATATCAGTTTTATTTTTAATTTTCTCTCATACAAATATTAAAATATGACATCTGTGTGCTTTCAGTTCTTTTATGTGTTATTGAAAGGAGAATTTTTTCATGTAGAGTTTGTTAAAATCTTAAAGTAAAACTTACCATAAAATTCCAGTTCATTTTGAAAGGGGTGTGTAGCACAGAGTCCTGCAGCTTTTTCTTCTTCAGTATTTATTTTTGTGTTTTCATCAGCACCACAGATAAGCAGCCACAGTTGGTAGCAGCCTTCACTTACTTGGTCACATACAGAGGTAAATAAAGGAAGTGCTGTTTATTAGGTTGGTTTGAAAAAAAAGCCCCACAAGACTTTCATTTTTAAAAATGAGATGTATCTCTTTAGTGCATCTGTAATGCTTCTCTGTTCATGTCTGTGGTACTTTGCGTCTTGAATGGCCACCACAGTGAGAACTCAGCTAGGCTCCATGTCTGTAATTACCCACTATAGGGAATGAGAGGCTGTAAATACCAGTGAGGTTGTATTTCTAACCCATATTCCAAAATAATTTCTCTTGACCATTGACTCACTCTGTTGTACTCCTAGAGATTTAGTTCCCTCTTTGCTGGTGTGTATCTCCTAGGAACCTGCTTGCTCTGGGTAGTGGCTGGTCCATGTGAGCCCTGTTCACCAGACCTCAGACCTCAGTTCTAGAGGCAGGTGATGCTTTCAGATCAATTCTCTTAATTTCTTTTTCTGTACTTGGATATATTTAGTAACTCACTTAAATCTTAGTTGAATTCTCAGGACATGATATTGGCAGTTATTTCCTTTAGAATATTCCATATGCCTTTAACTTCCAGAGTATCTCTGGTGGTCACTTGCTTTTTAAAGGCCTCTCTGTTGTCCTGTGCCTTTCTGATCTCAGCGGGGACTGCATGGGAACTTGCTTCAGCTTTGAGCGGTACTGGGTATTTACCTCACTTGCTGCTTCACACAAAACTCCGTCTTGCTCTTGGGAATTTAAACCCTGGGATCTAATATCTCCTGCTTTTTGTATTTCTTAGATCCTTTTTGTGGCAAGTCAGCTAATGAAGAGGTTGATTTATTTTTCTTTTTTATAAGAGGGATTATGTTTCATTCAGTGTTTATATAGCAGAGAAGAGGAAACTTGTTTTGTCAGTGTTTACAAATCTAAATAAAAAGAATCTCAGAGATTTCTCAAAAGATACTCCAGCAAGTAACTTTATTACTAGTCATTGTCTAACATGTTATCCATCACATAAGCATTTATGTGCAAAAACGCAATAGTTATAATTTTATAAGTAATTATAACTTGGTTTCTTTTATGTTGATCATTTGAAAATTATGTTATGTTTTCTTAAATTTTAGATCAGGAGACTGAAATCTCATCCTTCCATCATCATATGGAGTGGCAATAATGAAAATGAAGCAGCGCTCATGACAAACTGGTATGGCATAGATCCCAGGGTCCTGCACACTTACATCGATGATTATGTGGCACTTTATGTGAAAAACATCCGAGAGGTTGTACTGACAGTAAGTAATGATGTTTAATGTAGAATTTAAGACCTTATTTTAAAAATGGATCAATTTAAATATTGGTATAGTATATTATTATCCTTTTTGGGGGCAACCTTCAACAATATCGTTTTAATGCACAGTAGCCCATTGTAATGCCACAGCATGTAAAAGGATTTGTGGGTTATGGATGTCTTTGAGAATTAACTTATCTGTGGAACTCACCATACAAATACCAATATTGCGTTTACAATTGCACGTCATGGACTCTTTGGAGCCTGTCATGGGTTCCTATAATGTCAAATTTCTACTTTAGATGATTTAATGATATGCCGCTTCTCTCTCTTTTTTTAATATATATTAATATGCTTAATTCTGTGAATTAACTTTCTAATAATCTAGTCTTAGCATAAGCCCTAATTATAGTGCTTTATTCTTTTAGTCTATGTTAGATCTGATTTGCTAATATTTTAGTTAGAATTAAAAAATTCACATTCACAAGTGAAATTGGTCTATGGTAAGAATTGTAAATTCAAGTACCTAGAGGAGCCAAATTTGTTAAAAAACAGTTAGAGTAGATAAGCTCACAAAGAGAGAAGAAGGGACTGTGGTATTAAGAGAATAGATGTTGGGTCTTATAACATTTATACTCAGCATTAAGAAATACTATCTAAACATAATCATTGGTAGATAGATTTGACCCATAAAACTCAGCTTGTAGCATTTGGTATGTATGTATGTGTTTGCACTCACTTCACAGAGTGGGTTAGGAGGCTTTTTTTAAAATTAAGGTATCATTGATACACAATCTTATGAAGGTTTCACATGACCAACATTGTGGTTTCAACATTCACCCATATTATCAAGTCCCCCTGTCCCCCACCCCATTGCAATCACTGTCTATCAGCATAATAAGATGCTATAGAGTCATTACTTATCTTCTAAGAGGGTTTCTTTTTAATGTCTAGGGACAGTTTTTCTTTTTTATTGAAGTATGTTTGATATATAATCTTATATTGGTTTCAAATATACAAACCAGTATTTTAACAGTTATGCATATTATTAAATACTTACCCCCATTAGAGCAGTTACAGTCAACATAAAAAGATGTTACAGAAAATCATTGACTATATTCTCCATGTTGTGCTACTATCCCCCTGACCAGCTTATATTATGATTGAGAATTTTTGTGCCCTTTTGTCCCCCTCACCCTCCCTATCCACCACCCCAGCCACTCCCCTGTGGAAACCACCAATCACTTCTCAGTGTCTATGAGTCTGCTGCTGTTTTGTTCATTCTGTTTTGCTTTGAATTTGTATTCCACAAATAAGATAAATCATGTGGTATTTGTCTTTCTCCATCTGGCTTATTTCACTTAGCATAATACCCTCTAGGTCCATCTATGTTGTTGTAAATGCCAGGTTTTTTCTTTTCATGGCTGAATAACATTCCATTGTGTATTTGTACCACATCTTCTTTATCCACTCATCTGTTGATGGACACTTAGGTTGCTTCCATATCTTGGCTATTGCAAATAATGCAGCAGTTAACATAGGGGTGCATATATGTTTTCAAATCAGGGATCTTGTTTTCTTCAGGTAAATTCCTAGAAGTGGAATTACTAGGTCATATTTCTATCTATTTCTCATTTCTTGAGGAACCTGTGTACTGCTTTCCACAGTGTCTGCACCAATTTACATTCCTACCAACAGTGTAGGAGGGTTTCCTTTTCTCCACATCCTTGCTAACACTTGTTATTTTTTGCCTTTCAGATAGTGGCCATTCTAGCTGGTGTGAGTTGGTATCTCAGTGTGATTTTGATTTGCAGTTCCCTGCTTAGTGATATGGAGCATCTCTTCATGTGCCTGTTGGCCATCTGTATTTCTTCTTTGGAAAAAAATGTCTGTTCAGGTGGTCTGCCCATTTATTAATTGGGTTATTTGTTTTTTTGGTGTTGAGTCATATGGGTTCTTTATGTATTTTGGATGTTAACCCCTAAGGACAATTTAAATAAAACACAGATTATTGATTTTATTGAGATCAGTTCACCTATAAAACAGTCTGTATCCAGTGCCTTTTTATTTGGGACACAGTTTTCCTCCCCCACCCTGTATATTTGATTTCTTCTATGGTTATTATCCATTTTGTGTTTACAAGTTCTTCTGGGACTAGACATATTTATATTTTCTAGGCACATAGCATTTCATCTAGAATTTAAAAGTATCTGTATTAAGTAGCCATGCTTTCCTTTAGTAGCAGGTATGTAGGCTGAGAGACACTAGAATTGCCAAAGCAAGAAAACTTTAGGTGTGGAAGTTGCTCTTTTTCCTGTATGTGTGTATGTGTGTGTATGTTTGTGTGCTTGTGTCCATTGTGGATGTCTAGGGGTATCTCTGGAAGCAGAGATTTCCATAGACAGGGAGAGAAGAATGGACACAACTGGCTCAGCTGCTGTATATGTATTTATTTTCTTCTCTTCACTTCCTTTCTCTCCCCTCTCCTCTTCTTTTCTCTCCTCTCCTCCCCTCCACTTACATTCCCTTCTCTTCTTAGAAACTCATATTTTTGACACCCTTTGCCCATTTCACCCATCCTACCCTCACCTCTGGCAACCACCAATCTGTTCTCTGTATCTATGAGCTCAGTGGTTTTTAAAAATTTTGTTTTGTTTTGTTTTTAGAGTCCACATATAAATGACATCATATGGTATTTGCCTTCTCTGCTTGACTTAATTTGCTTAGCGTAATGCCTTCACAATCCATCCATGTTGTCACAAATGGCAAGATTTCATATTTTTACAATTGAATAATACTCCATTATACACCCTACCCCCCCCCACACACATCCCACATTTTCTTTATCCATTCATTCATTGATGGACATTTAGGTTGTTTCCATAGCTTGGCTATTGTAAGTAATGCTATAGTGAACATGGAGTACACATATCTCTTTGAGTTAGTGTTTTTGTTTTCTTCAGATAAATATCCAAAAGCTGAATTACTGGGTTGGATGGTATTTCAGTTTTTTTGAGGAACTTCCATACTGTTTTTCATATTGACTACACCGGTTTACATTCCCACCAGCTGTGCCTGAGGGCTCCCTTTTTCCCATATATTTGCCAGCATTTGCTGTTTCTTGTCTTTTTGATAATAGTTACCTAACAGGTATGGGGTGATATCTCATTATGGCTTTGATTTGCATTTCTTGGATGATTAAATGACATTGAGCACCTTTTTATGCATCTGCTGGCCTTAAGTATGTCTTTTTTAGAAAAATGTCTATTCAGATCCTCTGCTCATTTTTTAATCAGTTCTTTTGGTGTTGAGTTGTATGAATTCTTTATATAATCTGGATATTCCCATTTAGCAGATGTATCACTTGCAAATATTTTCTCCCATTCAGTAGGTTGTCTTTTCATTTTGTCGATGGTTTCCTTTGCTGTGCAGAAGCTTTTAAGTTTGATAGTCCCACTTGTTTATTTTCGGTCCCAAATCCAAAAAATCATCACCAAGACCAATGTCAAGGAGCTTATGTTTTCTTCTAGGAGTTTTATGATTTTATTGTTACATTCAAGTCTTTAATCCATTTTGAGTTAATTTTTGTGTAAGCTGTAAGATAGTGATCCAGCTCCATTCTTTTGCATGTGGCTGTCCAGTTTTCCCAACACTATTGATTGAAGAGACTGCCTTTCCCCACTTATATTCTTGCCTCCTTTGTCATAGATTAATTCACCATATAAGCATGAGTTTATTTCTAGGCTCTCTATTCTGTTCCATTGATATATGTATCTGTTTTTATGCCAATACAATACTGTTTTAATTATTGTGGCTTGGTAATAGAATTTGAAGTCAGGGAGTGTGACACCCTCAGCTTTGTTCTTTTTTCAAGCTTGCTTTGGCTATTCAGCATCTTTTGATCCATACAAATTTTTGGATTGTTCATTCCATTTCTGTGAAAAATGCCATTGGTATTTTGATAGGGATTGTATTGAATCTGTAGATTGCTTTGGGTAGTATGGACATTTTAATAATATTAATTTTTCCAGTCCATGAGTATGGAATATCTTTCCATTTATTTGTGTCTTTTTCAATGTTTTTCATTGTTGTCTCATAGTTCAGAGTATAGGTCTTTCACCTCTTGGTTAAATTTATTCCTAAATATTTTATTCTTTTTGATGTTGTAAATGGGATTATTTTCTTAATTTCTCTTTCTGATAGTTGATTATTTGTATATAGAATTACAACAGATTTCTGTACATTGATTTTGTATCCTGCAGTTCTACTGTGTTTTTTCATTAGTTCTAATAGTTTTTTGGTAGTCTTTAGAGTCTTCTATACACAATATCATGTCATCTGCAAATAGTGATAGTTTTACTTTTTCCTTTCCAATTTAGATGCCTTTTCTTTTTCTTGTGCAATTGCTCTGCCTATAACTTCTGATACTATGTTGAATAAAAGCGGTGAGGATGGGCATTCTTGTCTTGTCTTAGAGGGAAAGCTTTGAATTTTTCACTATTGAATATGATGTTAGCTGTGGGTTGGTCATATATGGTCTTTATTATGTTGAGATAGGTGCCCTCTGTATCCACTTTATTGAGAGTTTGTATCATAAATGGATGTTGAACTTTGTCACATGCTTTTTCTGCATCTATTGAGAGGATCATATGATTTTTTTTATCCTTTATTAATATGACTTATCACATTGATTGATGTGCATATGTTTGAACCATCCATACATTCCTGGAATAAATCTCACTTAATCATGGTGTATGATCCTTTTACTATGTTGTTGAATTTGGTTTGCTAATATTTTGTTGAGGGTTTTGCATGTATTTTCATCAAGGATATTGGCCTGTAACCTTCTTTTCTTGTGATTTCTTTGTCTGGTTTTGGTATTGGTAATGATGGCCTTGTAATGTGTTTGGAAGTATTCCCTCCTCTTCTGTTTTTTGGAATAGTTTGCAAAGGACTGGGATTAATTCTTCTTTGAACTCTGGTAGAATTTACCAGTCAAGCCAT